CCCCATTCAGCATTTCTTTAAGTTGTGGAAATTAATCGGCACCTTCACATGTCTGTGCTCAGTGCATCTGCACGCTTGGGGATGTGGGCATGAAGGGGGAAGAGCCATGACCTGGGTCACCGTGTCTGGGGATCTCTCTAGGGTGACAATGGTACTCCCCACCCTTGGACTAAGGAGCCCTGTGGGTGCGGGAGAATATGTGTGGGGCTTCAAAACGCCCGTGGGAAAACTCCATTATCTTCCAGTTCCAAACCTCCCCGCCCACGAGTGCTTTAAAGGCCCTCCTATCAGCTGTGGGTGCGGTGCCCTCCGGACCGCACAGGAAGCAAGGGGATGAGTTTGGGATGCCCAACCACTGACTGTTTCTCTCAAAACAGCCAAGGCGTTAGCAGGCCATTAACTTGCCTTTCAATTAGATAGGTGAGTGGCCTGGTGGCGGGAGGAATGACACACAATCTAGTCCCCACACCCTTCCTCTTGGGGTTCCTCCCACCTGGGCAGGGAAAGAAGGCAGATGTGATTCCCAGCTGCGGGGAGCTACACATCTGGCCTGAGGGACCAAGATGCAAGGGCTGAAGGACTGTTCCCAGCTGAGCACAGTGTAGCTGACCTCGCTGAGACCCTGCACTGCCAAGTGCAGCTCTGTGGGGCTTCAGGGAAGCTGGCGGGAGGGCTGGGCACCTGGCTGGGTGGCAGAGGGGCTGTGTGTGGAGAGGCCGGAGGCATCATCAGCCTCAGTGGGTCCTGGCGACAGGTCTGGCAGTGCAGGCCAGAGTGTCCTGCTCCACAGCCCCTGGGTCAGGCCTCCTCATCTGAAACTTTGGTGCCTCACACACTGTCCTTGCAATCGTGCAATCCATGCCCCATCGGTGGCACTATTCTTTATTTTTAACGGTCCCTCTACAAAGACAACACCTTTGTACATTTTCGCAAACAGACTTTATAGGGAGCTTTTCACCATTGTCAGTAGAAAAGCAGTATTTCCGCCCCCGCTTCTGCAACATATGAACTCTAAGGACATAAAGACCAGACGGGAAGCCCGGCGGAGCCCTTACCATTGTCTCAGATGCTCCAGCTCCGGACATAGCTCCCTTTAGGGCTGATTTCCAAGCTTCTCCGCTGCTCTTTCGACTCCTGTCCATTCTTGTCAAATCCCAAGGCCATCTCTTCGTTCTGAACTTCTGAAAATGACCTTGATCCTGAACCCGCCTCTCACTTCTTTCTTCCACTTGTCTCTCCTTAAAATGCCCTCTAGCCTCGTCAATTCTTTTCGTATCGCTTCTCTGATTTATTTGTACTTTTCAACAGTTTCATCGACCAGCCATCCCCGCACCATACGCTCTGATTGTATGACTCCCTGTCTCTGGGAGCACAGCCTTTCTCCTTGAGGACCCTGTGCCCTTGGCTCCCGCCGGGTGCATTCAACAGACGATGGAAAGGGCCTGGAGGAGGATGCAATGGGAAAGTGGTTGGCTGCTAACCAGGAGGTTGGTGGTTCGAGCCCACCAGGGGCTCCAAGTGAGACAAGCCTTGGTGGTTTGAGAACCTAAGGGCGCAGGTCCACCCCATTCCATAGGGTCACTAAGAGACGGAGTCAGCAATCCTACGGGAACACCACTGATTTCCCGCCAGGGCAATTGCCCCCAGGGGCTGTTTGCTGATGCCCGGAGACCTTTTTGATGACAGGAGCGGAGGGGGATACTACTGGGACCTAGAAGGAAGAGACTAGGGAGGCTGCATTTTGCAAAGCACAGACCGTGGACAGTGTCTGGCTCCCAGTTTCCATCCTGTTGAGGAACCTGTGGCTGGCCAGCTCCCTCGTCTGTGCCTCTGTCCTTCGTCCTCCTCTCCACCAGTTCTAAAGAAGCCCCAGGACCAGGCTACTGAGAGGCACACACCTGTCTTGGGGAGAACGATGTGGCGGTCTGCTTCCATAAAGACGTGGGGCCTCAGAGACCCTACGGCCCAGTTCTCTGCTCTACAGCATCACTGTGAGTCAGCATGGACTCCACTCTTCTCCATCTAGCCGTCACTCCCTGGCCCTCCAGAGGCCACGGATGTCCACACCCTTGAACTTTGTACGTAGTGCTCTCTCTGTCTGGAAAGCGCTTTCCCCTGGTTTGCTGTGAGAAGTCCTATTCAGGTTTTGAGACGCCGCACAAAGACTCCACTCCTTCCGACCTCCTCCGTGACACCCTGCCCTCTTCTTCTGCGCCTGTTGCTGTTCGATTGCCCTTCAGAGTGTGGCAAGGTGGCATGTTGCCGTGTGTGTCTGAAACTACCATTTAATGTACAAAGTTTGGTATACAAAATGTCACCATGTAAAAAAATTAATAGACCCAAAGGTGACGTTGTGTGAAAGGGCTGGGGGTCATCCGGAGCTACCTCTTCGTGACGTTAGCTCTCACCGTCCCGGAGCCACACGGGGAAGCCAGAAGCACCCTAGCGCGAAAACAGTCACTACTGAGCCCAATGCGTCTAAGATTGGTTGGTGCCTGAACTTGTAACAGTAGCGGGTT